ATATACACACGTCTTCTCTTTCTAATTAATTATTCTATATGTCACATCTTGTCAGTATATTTATTTTTTTTTATGAATATAATTTGGTGGGAGGCATTTAATATCTAATTGGATATTTTGTTTAACACCGTTTTTTAAAATCTGTTCACTTTGGGCAAAATTTGGGGCTCACGCTTTTCAAATTAATGTTGATAATGTATTATAAGGTTTATGTGGTGTTATTTCGGCACTTTACTCTTGATGGAAATTTCTTTGCACAAATTTTATTCAGAAAACATTTTACTTATTTAAAGTGTGACACAACCCTTCTCAGAGAAGAAACATTTATCTGAAAAACATATCTTCTTACAGTTAATATGTCATGGCTACATTAGGTATTTAGAAACTATTTATAAATATTTGTGAATTTTTATTTTTTATTATATCTATTAAGGTATAAGAATAAAGTTTTTAAGATTCTCGATTTTTTCAAACTTTAATATTTGTTGTATTTGTAATTAAAAGTTTATTAAAAAATGAAGATAGCTGATAAAAAGCAAGACTGGAGATTTTATATAAGTATTGTATAGATAGTAGCTTTTGTATTAGTAGCTATATAAATTTTTGTGAATATTACAAGTGTGAATATTACAAGAATTAAATTAATATGATAAGGTTTTTAATAAAGTTAAAAATGTAAACTCTATTCATATAAAAATTATAATTGATATAATTTTTGCAATTTTTATTTAAAGGAAATAATTAATCACAATGATAAAAAACAATTATAAGACAGTAAATGTATTTGCAACAAAATATATGCAAAATACATTTATTTTATTCAATAATCTATCGCTTTGCATGTAAACACATTAAATTAAGTTCACTGATTAACCAAGTACATGTCACATACACGTATTTATAGAGAGAAGCATATTTTGAAATACATTTTAGCAAAGTATCTAAGAAGAAGAGTTTTCTTAGTTAGAATTTTATAACACGTACATTAAGTCTTAGTTAATATATTAAGTTGCTGCAGTATTAGTCTTCGCGGTTATTAAATCAATTAGTTGCGAATTATTAATGATTTATACATATTTTTGTGCTATGTTATATACATTATTGCTCAGGGCAGTAGGCCAAACAGTACAATCGATATCATTAGTGTCAATCACATATTGTATGATGTGTGCTTGGTCATTGCTGATTGCAACGGCGGCATGTTCTGTGTTTTTGGCATGCAACACCTGGCCTTCTTTGAATCAACAACATTGGTTTATTGGGTCTATGGGTGCTATTGGTCTATATGGTGGTGGGTTGGTTTACTAATAGAAACATCTGCACGAAGCTAGACTGTATTGGAACATCAAGGAGTGCGATCGGAATACAGATAATAATCTTTCTGGCTACGTGAGTATCGAATGTTAGAGTGTCTTTTTTTTTTTAATTTTGGGCGAATACGATATAATGTCATGATAGTCACGAAACGAAGAAAATGGAAAAATTGTAAAAAATTTCTTGTTTTATATAATGATAAAAATTTTTAAAGATTGTAGAGGGAATTCTTTAGATTGCAATTTATGTTTATAAGTTTATGCACCATATTCGGCTAGAATACTAGAAATGCTTTAATATCACAGAGTGACTGACATTGTAAATAGAAACTGCATTCTCTTCTTGACGTACGCCTGTACCACGTGTCTACATAATTAACACATTCATTGTCATTGTTGGATGCAACCACTCTTGTAAACTACATCCACAGGTGCTAACCGTGATTGTTGTATTTTCCCTTTTTCCTCAAAATTTTTTCTCTTATTCTAAATGTTTTCTAAATTGTTCTAACTTACGGAGAAAATTTTGCAATTTATATATAGCATGTATATAATCTTTCTCTATTTGGACTGCTTGGCAATGAGTGTGTTACATTTTATGCAAGACAATATTTTAATATAAGGGTATAATGTAAGAATAGTGTTAATTATAAATAAGGTTACAATGAAGAATATGATAATAACTTCAATTTGTTTAAAAGTGCTAAATGTACATATATAATGTGTAAATAGTAACAAGACAACGAAGTAACAATACAAACTGTGAATAATAGTTCCCGTAAAGAATTGTACTCGATTCAGTTTGATACTATTATATTCCTGCTAACTTAAAGTATTTAGAAAAATTCCATAAATAGCACAATTATATTGTTTCTTTCTTTTGCTGTTATGATACGGATCGTTTTAATTGATTTTTGCATTTGCTTTTTCATGGAACAGACAAGGCAACCTATATTTGTTCAGTTACTTCATGCAGCTTTTAAAGTATCACAATGTGCATGGTTAAATGCTGGACAAAGATTTAACGTCGAGAATTGCATACGAACACTGTCAGACATAGGTAGGTATCGTTTTGGACTTGCGAAAGAACGCTAATTGCTCCAGAAACAGATGTTTCTTCATTCAGAGTAATATAAAATGGCTCCTCTTAATTTTTTTAGCCAAAGGACGAGGAATTGCTATACCGACTGATTTGGAAAGCCAAGTAGCTTCTATGTTCAGTAAAGCAGCTATGCTTAGTAGACAGACGAACAAGTGGTTGCAAGCGTCTAAACAACCGAAGATCGAACGCAGTCAAAGCCAGGTAAATTTGCAATGATATCTCTGGAAAATCTATCAGAATGATGATACATGCCGTTCATGTTTAAGCAACTGTGTAATAAATTTGCTTAAATGCATAGAGTGACTTACTTTGTACGGAAGGCTCTAACAATGAGGTAAAGGTCACTCACGGAAGCATAGCACTCTGTTAGTTTAGTTATGCTTATGTAGTGCGGCTGCTATATTAGTACGCTGTTGCGTACAGATCACGCAGATTTCACATGCTTCGTTAAAGGCGTTAATTTATTATTGTTTTATGATTAAAAACGCACATGCAATTGCACACACAATAATATAACATTTAATCGAGGAAATAAAATTTATATGTGATATCTAATTATATAAATTTATTATAGAAATGTAAACACATGCAAAAAAAGTATGAAATTATATTCTATGAAATATAGAAAACGTGATGTTATATTGTGAGATGTATTTAAATTTTCAAAGAACGCAATCAATTTATTGTAGCGTAGATTAAGAACTCTATTTGCAAGACAATTTTGATTTGATTTGATGTTACAAGAATGGTTCGTGTACTGATAATGTTAATTTTTGTTTAGTTGATGCGTCTAGATCGGAGTATTATAGAAGGTCTGCAGGACATAGTGTCTCTGTTGGAGGAACAATTGAAACCTTTGGTGCAGTCAGAATTATCCTTGTTAGTGGATATTCTCTATCGACCCGAGTTGCTGTTTCCTGCAGCGACTGATGCCAGAAAGAGATGTGAGAACGGTGGTTTCATTAAGAGGTAATATTTTGAATTACAACTTGTGAGATTGCGTGCAAGAAATATATTCATGTATTCTCGCGTTCCAGATTAATCAAGCATACTGAGAAATTGCTGGAAGAAACGGAAGAAAAGTTATGCGTGAAAGTTTTAAGGACGCTCAGGGAAATGATGGCTATCGACCCTGAGTATGGGGAAAAGGTGAGCGTCACGAAATTGCGTCTTGCATGAAGTTACATGAATCATTTATCATACAAGGAAGATAACACAGCATCGCGAGAAGGGCATTCAGTAAATAGGTTTACGTCAGAGACAAAACAGTACATGAATATTAAATCGCGAAATAAAATTATCGTCGAGGGAAGTGGCTCAAGTTTTGATGAAGTCAAATCTAAAACTTCCTACTTTATGCTAAGTACCTGGCGTAAACTTACAGCGCGTCTTCGCGCGCTGTAAGCTGAATGCCCGAGCGCTCACAGCACATTAGACGATTTAATACGCGATTAAATATTTGTTTGGCTTGTCGCATAATTACGTGAATAATATATAAAAGTTAATAAGATTTCTCAATACGCCACAAAGTCTTAGCGGCGGGTGAGTAGGTCTGGTAGAATAGAACTGTAGGTAAAGATGTTTTCATGCTGCGAACGAAGAACGAAGGTATCTCGGAAGAGACGGAGTCAGAAACGAAGGGCGAGTCACAAGTTGGAACAGGTTCCAATGATCAGTCTGAGAATCGACAAATAACTCAGCAAGAGCCGGTAAAAAAATTAAAGTAGATAGAACAAAAAAAAATGTGGGCACAACGTATATGAAACAAAATTTGCTGAAAAAACATTATGTTGAAAAGAGATCGATGATCGCGTGATGTAATTTAGGACGCGCGAGCTATACTTTTAACACCGCTACGACATTACATGCTGTTTGCATTGTCAAAAGCAAAGAAATGCATTTAGGGCATCTCTCATCAGAGAAAAGAAGAAGAATCTAATCTGTTTATCCATTGTTTTATTGACTAATCATAACTTACCTTATAAAGCATCATCTTATAAAGCTAACGAAATGATAAACATATGTTGCTAATTGTAGTTGATTAATTGTGTGATTCAGTTGTTGACCAAGTGATTGTCCATTATATGTTATACGTGAATATCAGGCAGTAAATGGTGTGGTGAAATTCCATAAAGTAGAGAACATAATGTACGTTGTGTAGATTTTTCATGCATGCCGCTTATTTTATGCACGTTTATTTATCTCCATTTTTTATTATACTTATATCCATTTCTTATACTATCATTTTCACTTTCTCTAATAAATCATCTTTTGCATATATATATATATATATATATATATATATATATATATATATATATATATGTGTGCTACAGTATATGGTATATACATATAAGAATTATGTAATTTTTATGTGAAAAGTAATTTTGATTCACGGTATAAAGAAACAAACAATTAATGAAGAAATGAATATAACGGTATATAATTATTATATTATTTCTATTACACCTTACAAACTTGTCACATTTTTACAAATAATTTTCGCAGCTTTACAAATAACTTACTATATTTCTTGAACAACATGTTTACCGTGTATCGAAGACTTTTACGATTTATATCTTCAATGATATTATTTCTTCTTTGCTTAAAAAAATATATGTTTAATATATATATCTCTCTCTTTTAATATTATTCTACAAGGATAGAAATATAATAAAAAAAGTTTTTATCTAGATATAGATATAAATGTATATAAATTATGTAGTAACAGATGTACCAATACAAATGATATAGATTCTACATTTTAATAATTACACATTGATAATGATTTTATAATATATATCATATATTTTTAACTATGTTCGACTGGAACGTACTATGAATGTGAAATTCTCTATGTGAACATTCTTTTACTTTTCTTCGTTCCTTGCTCCAATAACATGAGTGTGTTATTGCTAGATAGTTAATTATTCTTATATTAAACACTCGAATATCTTGAATATAGACATATTGAAATATCGTATGCACAATATCCAAAATATGTGTCTTGCCATTACTTTATTCTTCTGTGCTTTACCCCAGGACTTACACTTTTATACAAATTATGCGTATATTTATACGAATATAATTTTACACACCTTTTTATATATAAATGTTATCTTTTTTGCATAAATATAATCACTTATTGAAATCTCCGACTTCACACGATGTTCACCGATTATTGATGTACAAATATGTGTGGTTTGCAATTACATTGATTTTATTTTTTTTTTTTATACCTTGCACTTTATTCATATATTTCGTCTCAAATTATGCAAACTTTATGTCAATAATATAATGAGATCTCTCACACGCATCCTAAATTGCACAAGTCCTATACGTCTGAGCACATAAAGCACCGACTATGTAAATATGATTCAAATTTATATATATTACGATAGAATTTGTGAACATATAAAGAATATCTGTATAATATTTTACTAGATCTTTTTTTTTATATAAATGTTGTGCACTATGTATTGGTACATCGTCCTGATTTCGAACGCGTAGCGGGATGCTAACATACGGTACTCTTTTTTTCACAGGGAGACGTATTGAGAAATAATCTTTTGGCGCGTTATTTCGGTAAAAGCTTCACGCAAAAAGAGAATGTTGACCTCGGAGTGTCTCGTGGCGCGACCATCACTCACGGTCCAGGAGGTAAACGATAAAATACTATCGTCAGACTTTATTATTTGAATATCCTTCATTGACAACGTGAATTTACAGCGAAGATATTAAGCCGAGCGGGCAGAACGTTGCACGATGTGCAAACTCATCTCGACCGCGAAGGCGCATCAGATTTGGTAGTAGAATTGGTGATTAAGAGTGTACACTCTCCGAGTATATTCGTGGAAGCCGTGGAATTGGGCATTGCGCTATTGGAAGGTGGAAATCCGATTATACAAAGAAGTATGTTTAATAAGTTAATGGGTGGTGATTTGAGTCAGTCGTTCTTCAAGGTATGTTGATCTCACGATCGTTAATTATGACGTATTAAGACGTATTTTGCATTGTTATCTTTTGCGCAGGTGTTCTATGATAAAATGAAGGATTCTCAGCAAGAGATTAAGTCCACCGTGACGGTGAATACATCTGATATGGCAGCCAAGGCGCACGAGGATAAGGAGGGTAAAGAAATAGACAAGATATCGCGAAAACGTGGCTCAGGTACAAGATAGGACAAGTATTGTCGCTAAAATTACCGAGTTATCGTTTCTTAATCTGCGTTTTATTCCTGTGAGAATAAATATATGCTTGTAATGAACTTAGTTTGTGTAAACGTAGGAAAGCCCAATGGAATCGTGATAACTGAGGATCTTCGCGAGGAATTGAATCAGGCATCCAACGGACAGGCGTACGCGAATATGCGGAACGGTCTTGCACCTATCGAAGACGCGGTGAATAACGGCGCGTTAGAAGATATAAATGAAAAGTTAGATAGAAACAAAAGCGGCACCGCGTCCACCGAGAAGGACGAGGGTCAGTTGAGCTCCAAAGTTTTAGTGATGCAACCTATTCTACGTTTCCTGCAGTTACTCTGCGAGAATCACAACAGAGAATTGCAGGTACCGTCTGATGAAAAGATCTCTCTTAATTACGTATTATTTTGATAGGACAGTAATAATCATTCGTTGTTTTCATGCAGAATTTCCTACGAAATCAAAATAATAAAACTAATTTCAACCTGGTGTCGGAGACGCTCATGTTTCTGGATTGCATCTGCGGCTCGACCACAGGCGGATTGGGTCTCCTTGGCTTATACATTAATGAATATAATGTAACGCTGATTAATCAAACCTTGGAAACGTTGACGGAATATTGTCAGGGACCGTGCCATGATAATCAAAATTGCATCGCCACGCACGAGTCCAACGGTTTGGACATTATAACGGCATTGATACTGAACGATATCAATCCTCTGGGAAAGACCAGGATGGATCTGGTATTGGAATTAAAGAACAACGCCAGTAAATTGCTGCTAGCGATTATGGAGAGCAGAGGCGACAGCGAAAACGCCGAAAGAATTATGTACAACATGAATCCGAAGCAGCTTGTAGACGTAGCGTGCAAGGCTTTCCATCAGGAATCGTTGGATGACGCCGGCGATGTCGATGATTCTTCGACAAACGGAGAGGAGGGAGTGTCGCCCAAAGAAGTAAGAGAACGATATATTTTGTTGATTGCGATTATTTTAATAATAATAAGAATTTAATTGGATTACTTTTAATTTTATCTATTTTATATGAATTTTGTCAACAGGTCGGGCATAACATTTATATTTTGTGCCATCAACTAGCGCAACATAATAAAGAACTGGCAGTGATATTGAAGCCATCCGAACAGAACAATGCAGATCCGAAAATTAATAAAGCGTTGCAATATTATGCGTCTCATACAGCACAAATAGAGGTATCGTAGTTCTGCATAAATAGAAGTAATTTCATTTCGAAAGTGATGTTATATCAATAACATTTTGACGTTTCAGATCGTGAGGCACGATAGAACACTTGAACAAATTGTCTTTCCGATCCCGGAGATTTGTGAACTTATAACTGTAGATACCAAAATAAGAGTGCTAAACACCACAGAACGAGATGATCAAGGATCAAAAGTTTCTGATTTCTTTGAGAGGACAGAAGACATGTTTAACGAAATGAAGTGGCAGAAGAAGCTCAGAGGTACGTCTATTGATAAAAATAGCTTCGAAATGATCTTTCTAATAATATTTATCAATTTTTGTTTTTCATTCATAGGTCAACCGATGTTGTTCTGGATGAGCAGTTACATGTCACTGTGGAGTAACATTTTATTCAATTGTGCAGTTCTTATAAATCTTATTGTAGCGTTTTTCTATCCGTTCGTGGATTCCGTGCCTAGTAAGTTTTCAATTGACAATGGATGAGTTTCGGATTACCTCTCGATATGCGATGAGCGACATGTTTCTGTTTTTTTTTTAGAACTCGGTTATCATCTGTCAGCTTTAATTTGGACTGTTATGCTTGCGTCTGCCGCCATCGTTATTACCTTGCCGAGGGAGTCCGGTATACGTACGTTAGTCGCGTCAACGATATTGCGACTGATCTTTTCTGTAGGCCCAGAACCGACGTTATGGTTACTTGGTTTTCTTACGGTAAAAACATAAAGCCTATGGCGTATTATAATAAGTTACATATATATCGTATTATTCATTCTTAAAAATATTATATTTCTGTTGCAGATCATGTTAAAAGTTATACATCTTATAAGTATTATAGGTAATCAGGGTACCCTGACCAAAAATGTAGAGCAAATAATATCGAATATCGAACTTTTGTATCACTTATTGTATTTAATATTCTGCGTTCTGGGGATCTTTATGCATCCGTTTTTCTATTCAGTTTTAGTAAGTATAATAGAGTGACGTTTATACTAGTTTTACAAACGCAGCTTGTAACACCGCTATTTCTTTTCAGCTTTTTGACGTCGTTTATCGCGAGGAGACTTTGCTCAACGTAATCAAATCCGTGACTCGAAATGGACGATCTATTATACTCACCGCTGTACTAGCCCTGATTTTAGTTTATATGTTTTCCATTATCGGTTTTATGTTCTTCAAAGACGATTTCCTCGTTCCTGTAGACGAAGAAATTATAGGTAAGTTTATCCTCCTGTATCTCATCTTGTATCGATTTGTGTGGATATATTTAATTTCATAAAAACAGTGACTCACAAAATTTATTTAATTTGTAGCCTCTATCGAGCAGCAAGTTGCAGATACTTGCAGTGCCGGTGATAAGACGAAATGTGAAGCAACAGAGACTGTTTCACGATATGCTCACGAAGGTAATTATAATGGTGCGATTTGGTGCTTTTGGCATGAAGATGCGCGAATGACTTATCGAAATATATTATTTTAGTAAATGAAGAAAAGAGTAAATCCGAGTTGATTAGCGTCGGCGGAGAATTGAAAGAACGCGCGTGCGATTCACTCGTTATGTGCATCGTTACCACATTGAATCAAGGGTTGAGAAATGGCGGCGGAATCGGAGATATTCTACGAGCACCCTCCAGTGTTGTAAGTACGAGAATATAAATGATGGTGGACTTATTCTGTATTTATAAAACATCGCTGTATCTTTCAGGAACCGTTGTTTGTTGCGAGAGTCGTATATGATTTACTGTTCTTCTTCGTCGTGATAATTATTGTTCTGAATCTCATCTTCGGTGTGATTATCGACACTTTTGCGGATCTCAGATCGGAGAAGCAGCAGAAGGAATTGATTCTGAAAAACACTTGCTTCATTTGCGGTAAGTATTTATTCATCCACATTTTCTCGTAGTATGAAACATACGATATTATATTTTACTATCTAATCAATCCGAGGTGATTAAATTGTTTCATCTTTTTTAAATAGGTTTAAATAGATCGGCTTTCGACAACAAAATAGTTTCCTTTGAGGAGCACACAAAACACGAGCATAACATGTGGCATTACCTCTACTTCATCGTCCTGGTGAAAGTGAAGGACCCGACGGAATTCACGGGACCGGAGTCATACGTTTACGCCATGGTGAAGGTAATAGTTCATAGAGCTTGAAAAAGTTGGGCGATGCTTATATCTTTAAGCTCTATGTACTTTCACAGGACCGAAATCTGGAATGGTTCCCGCGACTGCGAGCCAAGTCATTAGCGGCGGACGAGGGCGAAGGAGAACAAGTGGAATTGAGGAGTTTACAGTCGCAGTTAGAATCCACGCAGCAATTAGTTAAATGTTTGTCCCAGCAGCTCACGGAGCTTCGTGATCAGGTACGTCAGTCGAGAATATCCTTTAAATTATTTGGAAGATTTGCAACCAGCGAAAATACTCAGAATCATCGAATGCTCAAGTGGCGTTCAAATATGAATCGAAATTCTTTCGTTTTAACAGATGACGGAGCAGCGAAAGCAGAAGCAGCGGCTGGGCCTCCTGAATTCTGCTTCTGTGATCTTGCATAATGTACCCACGTAAACTTAAGACGTGTATTTTGTAGTTTCCTTTTATTATTCTGGACGAATCTCAGTTTGATACTCCAAGATAGAATGTATGTAACGATGTTTGTGTGTTCTCTTAACAGGCATTTAAAGACACGAGAACCGAGAGTGGGCAACCCGAGACATTTTTACGGTTTTGTTCCTACTTTTAATGAAAGTAAAGTACACCTAGGGCATTATCGTCATCATTCTCTTTTTATTACAAAGATTTTTAATCCAATTTACCGATCAATCGTCAAGGAACCAGTATACCGTAAATATTGCATCGTTTACTAATGTATAAATATTGTTATATATAGAGAGAGAGAAGTTAAGTGTATCCATTTGAGAGGGAGCAGATATAAATTACTTAAAAACTTCCACACAGTTATTGAAATGTTATAAAGTAATATTCTAATTCTTTTAGAATATTTTCCTTTTTATGTGATGAGCTCATTGTGTTTTTAGCTTTGCTATTATAATATTTATATGTATCCACGTGGATACATGAAGAAAGATTATAGTATCAGCGTTTTATAACAGTCGTGAATTTTATATACTGTTCTGCGCTATTAAAGCCATGGTTGTGTTATAGGAATCTTGTTTCCGTATATTATAAACATTTTAAATACTAAAAAAACATTATTGAAGATATATATTTGTAAAATTGTATAGATTTCTGTATTATATATTTAATTAACACATATATATATATAGATTATCCGTTTATTTGGAAGTGAATAGATTTGGAATTTCTCTTTCGTCGATATCACGTTGCTTACGATTACGTTAACGTTGTATAATCGATTATTTTTACTTTCATATGTGGATAGATTTGATGAAACAATACGAGAAATTTTATCCAAAATATAAACCTTAACGAAAGTACATATTTAACTTGTAATAAAATGCGCTCAACTTTTAATTCCGTGAATAATCGTTGAAATCCATATCATACGATATCTGTGTTCATACGTTGTTAATGATGATTTACAATGCGATTGGAAGACGTATGCGCAAATGCGAATTAAGTGAGTTCGTTTGTTCAGTTACTCGTGAAGGCAGTATTGATCACGAGCGCAACGCGATATTACCAATATAATTGGTGGCGAAAGCATGGTAATTAATAGGGATCAAATTGACTCTATCCTATATATATATATAGGAAAACTTTTTGAAATCTCAGATTATTGTGATGGACGAGCTTTAGCACGTTGATGTCCAATCATTAATTGTTAATATATTAATGATAGTTGACATGTTAAAAAGTTTAATCAAGTTGTGTTGTTGCATTACGAAACGTAGGAGCATCAACCTGAACACTACGTGCCACGTTATGAAGTTAGAATTTAACTCGTATTTTTAAAATAATACTTGAGATTTATGTCTATGTACGAGTATACAATATACACACTTTATTTCTTCCTAATGTAATATCGAATATGACGTAATGTATATATATTTTATTAGATATCGTAATCGTTTTAGAGAGAGATAAAACGGTGTCACTTAGAGCATATCACTTTCTATATGCTGTCGCATATTATCATTGTATCAATCTCCTTGCATTTTTCCTTGTATTCTGATATACCAGATTGCATTGTATCTTCAAATGAATTCAAATAATACCTGCTGAGATGTGTTATTTCTAATGTCTGGACGTGCGGTCTTTTATTATATAGTATATATACATATATATATACATATATATATATGTAGTTACACATTGTGGATGTAGATTGCGTTCTTACATGTGAATAAATTATGTTCTTTTTTAATGAAGCACCCTTGTCATAGTATTTTCTTGACGCCGTGGAGATTCCGTGGTATTGAAAGAACGACACTTGCATATAGTGTTTTATTTTACTTTATTTAGACTTTATATGAAACAATTGACTATTTATTGTGACTTATATATACGCGGCTAGTACATATAACACGTATTTTTCTTCCGTAGGTCGCACGTGTTTTGTGAAAAAACCGGTATGCTTTTCAAATGAAAAGCCAGCTATTGTATAGATGCGCAATAAAACACAACTTCTACAAATACGGGAATGTTGAACACAAAGATGCGAGCATTCGTCGCAGGTCTGTCTGGAGAATTAAATTTTTAAAGAGTTCACCACATCTACATTCTTTGTATAAATTACGTCGATTTCGATCTCATTGCATCAGTCGATTTTGCGGTAATTAATTACACAACTTTCATGTCTGTTTTGACGAGGTTTTCGATGAATATAGTTTACTTATCTTACGAATTACAACATAACATATTACAATATAATTGCTTTTTCGTGCATTATATCGCTAAACATGAATTTAGATTGTTTAATAATAAAGTGCAAAAGTAATTTGATCTTTTACAATATACACTAAAATTCTCAGACAAAACTCTCCAAGTATGATAAATACAATATATCAATAATCAATTCCTCAATATATTTTGCAAATATACTTACGCTTTTCTTCCAAATTACTAAAATTAATTTGTTGAATAGTGAAAATTAATTCAAATTTTGTTGGGGGCATAATATGGAGATAAATTGTGGATTAAAAAACAAGATCGAGAAGGGCATCGAGAAGCATTGAAAGTTTCAGTATTAGAATGGCAGTGATTTTAATGTATCTATATCTATTTTTGAAACAAACTTAAAACGCAAAATTAGATGCAAAGTCTTTTTTTTTTCAGGGAAATTGCACAAAGATGACTAGTGTTATTATACTTAGGTTAATATTGCCAAGGCTGCATTACGTTACACTTAATTAGGTATAAAAAAATTGTGACGACTTCGTGGATTCATCGTGAAATCAATGGAAAATCGTAGAAACAGTTTCGCATTTGTTGCACAGCTGGAATACACGGTCTGCGATTTGTTCTACCGGTTGGCATTAATGAGTACGTACATTAAATATTTACGACCTAGCATTTATTTCCACTTTATCCCAATAATAATCAATTGTGAGTTTGTCAGCGGACCGACACGTCCTGCAGGTGTGAGGCACACCAGTGGGCGAATGTCCGAATGTGACTTCTCGATTAGTGATACCGCGAAAAAAGAACGGGACTGATAATTCCGTCGAGATGGAGAGGCATCCCGTTCCGCCGACAAACCGTATAACAATAAATCGCGAGATGCCTTAGGCACGCGAAGCTCGTTCGGTAAAATACACTCTCTCTTCGTTCTCGTTCGCAGCCGCGTAAGATTAATCGTCTTATCGTTACTTTACAGTACTTCGTAGACTTAGGTGTAGACAATTAGTCGTGTTCTGTACAAATTCTATTAACGCCGCTACCTATGTACACATGTCGCTACGTGAATGTAATCTCTTACACGTGTAATTTGGCATTCGCGTGAGAGAGACAGAGAGAGAGTGAGCGTGAGTGAGAAGGATGGGGAGGAAGGGAGGGTAATTCGTGTGTGATTTTCGCTACTTCAAATCCGTGCATCGCGTTCTTGCATGTTAATCTTCTTTATATATGTATAATATATACACATGCCGTGTCTGGCCTTAGTATGTTTAAAGCAAGAGGTCGACAATACGGTGAAAATTGTGAAAATATGGTGATTAACAGCACTCCGTAATTTCTCTAGAAATAATCAAGTACACTGCTATATTTTAATGTAACAGTTATTATACATTTTCGTTAAAAATCTAACAACTAGTGTTTATAAAAACGTCTTGGAAAGTAAAGCTATTAAATTCTACAACAGATAAATAAATAAATATTAAAATAATGTATCTAAATTGTAAAAAAAATAATTTATATTATTTATTTGTGTAGAGCATTTAGAGATTTGAAATTAATTGGACGAGGATCAAGGATCTAGAAACTTTATAGATTCAGCTTAATAGATTGAGTGACAGTACGCTGTGTGAGCTAATCGCGCTTATTAGATGTGCTGATCATCACTTTCTTCAACTCCGATGTACATGTACGTGTGTGTATAATATATGTATACGTATGATTTGACCGAAGAGCGGCAAGCTGATTCATCAACTCTCTATCACACCACGAAAGATTGCATCGCGTATAGAGAGTGAAAAATATAGCAAAGTTCAGTTAAAATTTTTTTTTGGAATATCGTTCCTCGTATGATGTGATATCTCGGCGCATCTAAAATATTTTTTTTTCCGTGAAAATTATGCGGCCAGGAGTTAACGAACCAGCTCGCGAAATCTCGGCTCGCCATCGGTCACCGGCTCTGTTTTTTAAAACACATCTTACACCGAGCGACGTAAAACGAGGACCGGCGCAAGTCCCCACTGTTTATGTACACGTGAGATTATAACTTAGGCTCGTTCGATTAACAGGAACGTGTGCATAGATTCGCTTCGAGATTTACAGTCTCAACAATTATATGAGCACGCGAGTAGAATCGCTAGCAAGACGAGGGCTATTCGCGGGTCGGCCTTACTTGAGGAGTTTATGATGCGCCAGTTCGGCGCTGGCGATGGTCCGCTTTTGTGAGTGTTGGCGATCACTGTCAGACTTCGCCATCTCATCGTGTACTGCGGAGCAGTTCTTCCGAGGGCATGCAGCCTGAAAAGCAAATTAAATACTTTTTTATTTTAAAAACACATCATTTTTTTATAATAATAAAGAGAAAATAATATAGAGCGTTTATAATGTTCTGAAATGCTAACAGAACGTGTAGAAATCTATATGCAGCATTGTTGCAGTAGCGATTTTTAAATCTAGACATCTCACAAAAAAATTATTTACAAATTAAACGACTGTATATATGTGTATACTTGTGCACATAAAATACAACACAACAGTTATAAAATGTAGGAAGATTTTATCTGATAACGATAGAATATTTATTTCTTTAAAAATAATAAATGTTTTAGCTTGTCAAAGTTGAAAAATTTGGTCTATCAAAAGGAATGATAAATGTATCTAATTACAACTGGCTGCATAGCGAGACGTAGAATTATCTGTCTTTCTAGTATGATGAAAATGTGTCACTCTTCGATTTAACCCATCAATCATATCACGACCGCACTGCAGCCAGTGAGCAAGTAACTCGGCGGAGAAGCTGCTATTAAGCACATTTTTCTTTACATCTCGCAGATTATGTGAGTGATGCTGCCGGTTGTAACTGCAATTGCCGTCGTAAGGCGAGATGAATGATGGGCGATTGTTAATCAGTGGATAATTTCTTCATGCGAGACGACAGTAACGGATCGCACGGGCATCAATCCTCGGTTTTACGCGAGCATGTAGTGGCGCGCACACGGAGAGCGGGCTCTCGCGATCGTTCGTTGGCAAAACGTCGTTATATTTCACGCTCAACGGTGTTATAATCTCCCGTGGAAACTGTCGCGCAACTGTCGTTAAACGTGGCTGATAGACAAGATCGGCGACCGAACTTTCGCCAGGTTAATCGCCGCGAACAAAGCGCAGGGGGGGTAAGAAACTCACCTAACCACCGCGGTATTCATCTTCCACGGCAGCGTAAAATTCTTGTGCGTGTCCCTCGAACAGAACGTGTGCAATCTGGGCCCGGCGGGATCGCCGTCCTTCTTGTACTCGTGTATCGTCAAGTTCCACGCCGTGCAAGGCCCTGTTAAGTAGAAAAGCGTAGTAATGAGCGGACGGTGTCATGATACGCGCATATTTGTGTTGCAGTAATGCAATTTATTCTCGCGGCTTGTAATCGCGTGAGAAAAATAAGCTTAAGTAATTTTATATTCCCGCAACAATATTACGTAACCTTATGCTCCGTAAATTTCGGAAGAAAAAAAAGAACAAGATAATTAATTTCTTGCTATTAATTTCTTCATCATAATTTTTAATTCTATTAATCTAGAATTAAAAATTATCACATTTAATAATCCGACTTTGAATGTCTCGTTTGAATTTATTCTGGCTATTTGAATTAATTTAATTAATTCTGCTGTTTAAATAATCACTAATTAATTCGTAGCGTTAAATTATAAGCAGATGTTTCTCTATTCATCTTTTAGCGAAAAACAATAATGCGTGGAAGAGAAGGTTAATAGTGAAAATACTCATTGCCAGGATTCTTGTTCATGCGGTGAATATTTTGGCAAACCTCTTGTACCTGAAAGTACATCGCGCAGCGATGAAATTCTACAAGAGCGACAGAATGGGAAAGAGAGCGAGAGGGAGAAAACACGGCGGTACCGCGGCTTGCGAGGTATATTAAAGCCATTTCCGGTACTGGCGTTTGCAGGGCTTTGGTTACGATTCCGACTCTGCTCATAATGTTCCGTAAGGTGGTGAGGAGGAAGAAAATGAAAAAGCTATGGAGCGGAGGCAGAAATGAGGAGGCGAAAGGAACGGGAATACGATTTCTATGGCGAAGTTGTGGATGAAGTGTCGTCGCTGAAGTAACTCGATTCATAAAACGCATAATTTCGTGTGGAAGCCTTATTAATTCGCTCACTCGGTTCTACATTTAATTAATAAACACACGAATAGTTTTGTAACGTTCAACACGGTAATATAAGAAAACAGGAGTTGCTCGATACAAGGGTATTCTTCGTATCGCGTTTCTTCTCTTTATACAAACCAAAGCTTTTTATTTCGATTTCAGTATTTACTTATTTACTTCTTATTTATTGTCTGTAAGCAGTATCGCGACGGCACGCCTCCCTCGTATTATCTCTTCTTGCATCAAGACATTTCTGACATCGAGCACTATTACTGTGACATATGTGTTCGTATCTTGCTGCGTCGATCGATCGACGTCGGGGTTTCAAGAGAAAATAGAAATGGGGTCAGTGAGAAAAACGTCAGGCTGACGAGTCGCTGGCTGAAATTTAAATTATAATGAAGCCACGAAGAATAAATAGACAGTAGCCTTTAGCGCAGCCTGAAAAAGAAGATTATACACTTCACAGAGATAAACATAGGTTCACTCGCAGGTGCATCCGTCTTGCACCAAGAGGGAACAATATTCCTCACGCTGCATTTTACCGCGAGGAACAATCATAATATTCCCAGACTCAAATATATGCGGCGGGTGGCCGCCTTTGTCGCGCTCATAAGATGTCGGCTCGCTCAGAAGCGAGGGAAGGCGATGAACGGCGAGAGAACGGAAAAAGGGAAGAACGGTGGTGGTTTCTACACGGTGAGATTTTAGCTTCCGTTGTCGTGGTAAATCCGACGGTCTCTTTAATCTCGCGACCCACTGCCATTCGTTTTGCGCTACGCTCCTCTGTCTCTTCGGATC